CCCAGGGCGGGAAGCGCGCGACTGCCTCAGCGCCCCGCGCTGGCTGTGAGGGAGCGTGGCGGGGGCAGCTTGAGGAGCGTCCCTGATAGAGGTGCTTCCTTAGGCTCCCCAGAACCTCCTGGCCTTCGCAGGACCCCCGTGCCCTACCCTGGGAGAGCTCTCCCGGGGGCCATAAGCCGAGGTTTCCCTGTGAGCCCTGCTTGCCTCGCTGCCGGGTGGGCTGAGGGCACAGGGAGCAGGGCCTGGCCTTTCTCTTGGTGATGCCCTTTTACCCAGTCACCACCCTGTTTTCCTTCAGTTTTGTTTAAAACCTCGTTCCTGCACTCTGGTCTCAGCTGTGTTTGATGCCTTAGTTTGCTTGAGGCGCCGTACACCACTTGGGTGCCTCAACAGCCACAGCCCCAAGCACACGCTTCGGCCAAGGGGTTTTTTTGAGGGGTTTGTTTAAATCATAACTTTAGTGACATAAAATTTACCCAATGTAACCTGCCCAGACCCCTTTCCTCTAAGCTGGTGCTTAGGTTTTGTACCTCATGCATGTGCTGTTGGTTATTCGTGTGCAGGACAGCTTCATACTCCCTCACTGAATGCCGCTCTTGTCTTCAGATCCTGTGTCAGCCTAACAGGAAGGGCAGCTACTGGCCCTCACAGCTCGGTGTCGTTCTCAGCTCGAATAAGATCGGTACTGAAAATAAGAAATATATTGCTGCCAAGCTCTGTGATTTACCCTCTGTTCTGACAGAAAACCAGTGATAGCCATTCTCTGACTGATGGCCCGTTCAGCTCAGCAGGAGCTCTGTGGTGATTTCAGGTTCAGGTCTTGTGATTATCAGCATCTAAACATCTGATTTTTCCCACACACGTTTTCTCCCACTTGCACAGAAGGCAGTTGGGTTTGTTGCCTATGATTTATAACTGGTATTTCTACATTTACTGGTAGAAACATTAACTCTTTATCCTCTTCCCTGAAGGGGGAAGCCACTTGCAAGCACTCTGTCCCATTAGCTTTTAAGACGACTAGAAAGATTTAACTCACAGTGAATAGAGCTAGTGGTTCCCACAGGGGAGTTGGCCTCAAACAGCAAGCGGATCACTGGAGCATTGCAGCATGTGTTTTACATCTTCACCACAAAAATCCCTGGTTGGCCAGTTAGGATTCTTTTAAGCATTATGAAAGCTGAGAACCCAGCCTTTCTTTTCTGTGTTTGCAAACAGACTTTTTTTTTTTTTTTTCTCATTTGTTTAAAACAGTCCTTTCCCTCAAGCTGTAGCTTTTGGAATTCTCTGATGAAGTGATAATCTTGGCTGGCATTTTAAAAAAATCTACTTTTAATGACTGCTAGAAACTTGAAATACGTTTTCCTTTCAGGGCAAGAAACAAGGAAGCGTGTTTTTTCTTTGAAATTACAGTTATAAAACACTGATCTTGTGATTTTTCTAGGATATGACTGAGCTTAATCTTTTTAATGTGTTACGCTGTAAGCAAGGCAAAGCAAAATCAGAACAGCAAAGTTACCTTTGACATTGTTCCTCAAAAAATATTTCCAGTTTATCGCTTTTTGATCACAGTTTGCAAAATTGCTTTTCAGGTGAATACCCGGTGACTTCATAAAATTTGGAAACAAAATATTTATTGCTGTCTTTAGGGTGCTGGTAAGTCCATTTCTATAAGGGGTTTTAGGGTTTGGAAGGGGGAGAACTATTCAACCAGCCTTCTCCGGTATGCAGTGTTTGTTCCTGGCTTTTCATAACAAGCAGACTTTCTACCTTCCTGTTTTTTCTTTGAAACACTTTGATTGAGAAGGGTGCTACAGTTAAAAGGTGTATTTTATTTAAATAATTAAATGTTAGATGTTCTTTTTTGTTGTAAATATTCCAGTCACCTCACGCTGGTAAAGCACTGGCCTGTGCTGCAATACGTAGGAGCGTACCACAGGCATCCAGCAGGCCAGATAACAGCCATAACTTCATATTACTCCACTAACATGAAATTTGTTAGTATTGAATCAAAGGATCAGATTCTCAGTCTGAAATTGTAGTTCTTGTTGTTCTTATTTTTAGTGCTTTTAGGAAGTTCCAATAATGGCGGAGTTGCAGCACATCTGCTCAGTGGCATGACAATGAACACACATGTACTCTGTATTCTAACTTCACGTGAAATATCAGGTCGTATGCACTTCAAGACTGTGGCCTGAGCCCAAAACAGCCTCATGCTCTTGAACACCAAATATAGTCAATGATTTCTATTATAAGGCCAAGCTTGGGATGTGAGAGACAGCTTTGGTGAAACCACTATACTAATCACATTCCACTCCAAGTACGAACTAGGTTTTCTTCATCTTTGATAAATATGTAGGAGGTACCTATTAAAAATTCCCTTCCAAGACAAAATGCTGTTCTTCATACCTTTCTCCTTTGAGAGCAAGAATGGGAGAATTAATTTTCTGTGTTCATTATTAATCATATAACTGAATGCGATTCTGGCTTATTACAGCTTTCACTCCAGTCTAATACTGTACTAAGTTCTGTGTAGGTTAGAATACGGTGTTCACCTGCGACTTGAGGAGAGAGATGGGTTTAAGCAGGGAGAACTCAAGTTTCCTGTACCACCAGGAAGGGAGCCTGGTGTGTGAAAAAAAAGAAAAGATTTCCAGCTTGCCTCTGCATTTCTGAGGTTTTTATTCTCTCCAACAGGCCAGCCAGGGCCTTTGTATGTCTTAGGGTGGAGGTCGCTGTTGGGCTCCTGGGAATTACACTTTCTTGCCACACAGGAGGGGACCGACATTGCAGAGTGATCCCTCAGCTCTTGGATCCCAAGAAGACTCCAGCCCTGACATAGATTGAGAAGATGAAAAGGATGCTTTTGTCTGTGTCTTTACTCTGATTATTTTGATTCTTGTAAATAATTATTTTTTCAAGCATAATACATTATTTATAGCAAAAGTATGTTGAGCTGTTTTAGTTGACCAAATTATGTTATAATGCCTACCTAATCTTAATCAGAAGATGGAAGATTATTAATTTACCCAATACCATATACTTACAAAGTTGTGTAAACAAGTATCTGCCTTATAAAAATAAATTAATTTTTTTCTTTTAAGACCCAGGGGCAATTGACAATATAACATGAATGACAGCAGGCACCAGGCTCTGTTCTTTGTCAGTCTGCCAGAGCTACAAAAACTCTGTGCTGCTACAGTAACACTAAGTTCTCAGATACCAGAAGCTGAGGCAAGGAGTACACAGATAAAGATTTGCAGGTACAGAATTCTGAGGGTTATTATTTTCAGAAACTGTTGGTGGTTGTTATTCAAAGATTTTATTAGCAGAACCAGAGTTAACTGCAATAAAATCAGCAAAATTCTTATTAGCAGCAAGCAGTATCAAGTTGTACAAACTAAGGTTTGGGTTTTTTTATGGTGAACTTGCTCATTATTGGGGAAAAAACCCCATTTTTATTGTTTTAAATGTCATCAGCTAACACTAACAAGGCCACTTACTTCAAATTAATAAACAGTTAAAAATTAATCTGTATTCACATGCAAAGTTGGAAAGTTTTAGCTACATCTTTTGAGCTATTGTATTGCTTTATGTAGGCTGAGACTGAGTGAAAAGAATACTCAGAAAGCATGTGTATGCTCCTTAGTGTTCATCAATCATTCCCTGTAATAAGAAAGGGAAGGAATGAGAAATTCTGCCAAAAGGGACATTTTTAGAGAGTTCTGTTCATGTGTCAAAGGACTGGAGTCTCCCTTAGACCACAGCGGGCAAGTAACTTGGACTAGTCCTATTATTATATATCATTATATATATAGACTATACATTATATATACTTATATTAATATTATACTGAACCACTGGAAGCCAATGAAAAATTCAGCATATTATATAAATTTAATTATTTGTAAATTTAAGCTGATAAAAATCAAGTACATAACATTTTTTAACATTTTTCTAACTTCTTTTTATAGACAGTTATTATTCCTGCATCAAGACATCCTTTCTGCACCTGTTATTGGAACACTAAATCAAATTTCAGTTGTAATGGCGGTCAGTATCACTGTAAAGGAGTGTATGTAGTTGCATACTGTTGCGGATCAGAGGAATGCACCTCACTCAAAAATTAGAAGCAGCAATATATCCTATTGATGTAAAATAATAATATGAGAGAGTTCAGTAAGTTTGATGACAAAGTTCATCATCTATTACTGCATGGAAGAAACATACAAAGCAAAATTGAGTTAGAATGCCTGATACAGAGCCCAGAGGCGCAAAGAGGAAAGGGGACTCTCTTGTTCAGTTACGAGGTTCAGAGTGGGGCCCCTTGCTTTCTAAACTCCTTTTTGGACCCGAGGTGCATCTGGATCCAACCTTAGTCTCAGACTTGGTCAGTGAGTCATGTCTAATGGAATTATCCTTACAATATTTATAATATCTCAGTAGCTACAGGGATTAGTAATGCTTCACAGTACTTATTCAGCATGCTTTCGGGTCGTTTATTGAGGATCTGGCACGGGTATGGGATCCCTCCGCCTTGGGCAAGGAAGGATCTCTTAATCTCAGGTAAGGAATCCCTGATCTTGAGCAGTGTCCCTGCTGAAGGAGAGAGTTCCCTGGCATGCAGTCCAGCTGCCATTCAGGAAGAACTCAAATTGAGCCCATCCTGATTTTAATATTTATAGAGTGAAGTAGTTGGCTGCTAGTCAGGAGTATAGACAAGAGAGTTGTCTTTGGTTTAGCTAATACCTTGTTCTGTACTTTGGGGTTTCAAAACCGCCTTTCGAAATATTTTTTAAGACCCTTCACTACCTTGCACTTGAGCCACGGACTTTCCAGCTCACACATTCACCCCAAGGACATGAGGCCTGTGGCTTCTTGGTCAGCCTGGACCAAAGTATGCCTAGAAGTCAAGCGTGTCCATCACACATACATGCATGTTTCTCTAAGAAGTGTTTTGTTTGAGCATTGCTGATCAATAAAATTATGTCATTTAAAAAAAAACCTTTTATTTTTGTGCATTAGTGACGTAGATGACAGCTTATGTCTTCTACTGTCTTGAAATGACATTTTCAGACGGTGAACTTTCTGTGGAGCAGAATGGACTCATTTGGTAAGATGCCACCCAATTCACAATGAGAGCAGCAGGGACAGAGGTCTGTGATTTTGTTTTGGGCAGTCTTTTGCGTGCTTGTTACTGTATCTTTAGCTGGAAATGAGATTACACCCTGACAAGTGCCTGAACTAATTCTAGTTATCATTTTCCTTTAAACTACAGGACATGGTGTTTGCTTTAACTATTCCTTAGCATGTTTTTCTTAGGCAAAGTCACTGATGGACCACAATTTAATTTATCATTTTCTAAAACACCCCTTCATTTCAGACACTTGATTTTTTCTTATTTTTAGATACCATTTTACAAGTCAGGGGTATGTCAAGCCCACATAAAGACACAAGGAGCTACTGTAAGTGCTGAATGATGTCACAGTTCTTATGATTGTTACACTTGTTTGCAATTGCTGTTGCTTAAGATGAGGATTTTTCCTAGGGCATGTAATATGCACTACAGAAGCCAAGTTTCAGGGTTAAAAAGTCTGTTCCATAGACAAAATGTCTCTTGAATATGGGTATAGTAAGTATACTTTGCCAGAGTCAAAAGTTTTAAGACGTTCCTAAGCAATTCCACTGGATTTCTCTGGTGCAGTGGGATCCTGATCCTGCTCAGGGGCCTTGGGCTTTGACTTCGAGGCAAGACCTCGGCAGACCTGCCCTTTGGGCCAAAGACCTGCAGCTCTCCTGCTGGTGTCACCCCCTCTGCGTGTGCCCTATCGGTTCCACAGGTGGGGGTGTTCGGGTATCTGAACCGTCTCCCCATTCATGTTTTGGGTTTATCCAGCCTGTATAGGCCAGTCTCAGAGAAGCAAAACAAAATCGTAGAGAAGTATTGGAACCCATGAGTTTAAAAGCTGATATATTTTTAGACCATTATGCATATGCTTTACTGTCTTCTCATATGCAACGTTTGTGGGTTTTATGAATGTATGTGTGGGCGTACTAAAATTGCTGAGTCAAAAGACTGATCGTAATCAAAGCAAGTAGCTCTTGCAACGCGTTGCACAGCCAGTTGGGTGTATATTCCTTGGTTCCAAGAAATGTAAATACATATCTGGATTAGTAAGACATATACTGTTCAAATATGCTTACCTTACAAAACCGCTTTATGTTGATATATCTATCTGACCTCTCATCGTTACATTTTTCAACACCAGCAGATTAGTGGTAAGAAGTTTATTTAATAAACATGAGCTGCCAGCATATTCTTGCAGGATCTCATTAGGAACACCATCCTGGAGGTGTATCAGTTAATTCTTTTTAACCCACTCTAATTAGTTTCTTTTTCTTGACTTATGCTAACTGTCAGCAGAAAGCTGTGCAGGACAGGCAAGTAGTACTGCTGGGTGAGCAAAGCTATGTTTATCTGTTGTTCTTGTGATTGGAAGAAAACGTCTCTGGTCTTGAGTTTGACAGCAGAGTTAATACATGTAAATTTTGGATGCTGTGCCTATTGTCTTGAAAGAGATGCATATGTAGCAAAGTACTCCTTACAGTTCAATGCATGTTCTCCCCAAGTCTCTTATCAGCCCTGTGAAAAAATTAAACAAACTGTAGTGCACCTTATTTTGATGATGCATGAAATCTGAATGTCTACATCAAATATTGTGTTAACTTCCTCTTCTATCTAAGTAGATGAAAAGTAAAGATGTGTAACATATACTAGGATTTGGCTCCATGGTGCAGTAGAAGTATCTTTGATTAAATTTTGACTGAAGTCTTTAAAAAGGTCTGTTAAAATACTAATACTGTGTTTTTCTCTTCTCGCCTATATCGTTAGCTGGAAGCACCACAACCAGTTAGTCCAGCCATTCTCCAAACCTGTCTGTCCTACACACTTACAGCCAGACTTGCACCCAGGTGGAACAAGGCTGGTCATCTCTTGGTGCAAGGTATTTGACTCACATGGGTCAGGGATCAAGCGTTTAGTTTTCAGTTCTTTATTGTTGCATTTATTTTCCACAATTAAATTTCCATCATTATTTCATTCATTACTTTATTTCATTTATTTATTCTGTGGTTTTTTTTAATTGCATTTTTATTGTTCCTTTATCCAAGTTCAATGATTCAAATTAAAAATCTGAATGGACTTATAATTCACTTTTTCATCTTCCTCCTCGTCTTTGTAACAGGTCAAATAATTATTTCAACAGAATGCAACATATCAGATTAATAATTTCCAAAACAAATATGGTTGGACAGCAAATGTCTTCTAAAAATTGGGCCTGTGTTTCAGGTTCATGCTTCCATCAGTGGCACTTCTGCAGATGGTTCGCGTGCTTTTTCGATGCAGAAGTGGTTTTCTATCAGACAACCTCCTTCTACTAAGCTCATTCTTTTCAGATGGTGATTCTTTTGCCTGACGTCTCTCTACTTGCTCCTGGGTAGGATAAATGTGAATTACAAAGTGGTGGAAAAAACTATGTATTTCAGACACTGTGGTGTTACCCTTATTAAGTAGAGCAATTGTACACATCATTGCAATTGAGAAAAGTGTACATGCTATTGTCTTATTTCCATCCACAATATTAACAGTATCTTGTTTTCAGCATCTTCATAATATATAGTGCTCTGAATGAAATCAACTCGTTCAGGAACAACAGCAAGAAGTAGAGGGCTAGATGGTAGCTGATGTAAAAGTGATTTCAGCAAAAGACATTGACTACCAGCAATGTGGCCCTGATACATGCAGCTTGTCTAATCATATAATTTGCTAAAGCTGGGCAAAACTGATGATATGTCGTAAAATATGTAGTAATACTTTACAGATTTGCTTTTGAACTTGAGACATTTATTAACTGTTAGTCAATTAGAAATAGTTCTATGTATAAATTCCTTACTGGGAGGAAAAAACAATGTATAAATTGGTGTCAACTAATATACCTTCATATATATTTCTTTCTTCTATAAGATGTTAATGAATCAGTGAAAAGTGAATTGATAGGGGTTTTTTTTCTCTCCTTGAAAGGAACAAACCTTTCAGCATTCAAGACCCACAAACAAAACCGTGATTTCTCCTTTTTTTGCATAAAGACATTAGGCATATGATTTAGAAAATAATGTCTATCTATTTTGTTTATTAAGGAAAAGATTTCTTGTCTCATTCAGGAAGGCAAAACGCTGTTGGTAAGTACAATATTCTGTTAATGGTAAACTTGTGAGAGCAAAGTATAGTTATGTGCTTTCCTACTGCCTTGATCTTGGTATTACCAATGTCTTTTTTTCTTCATTCTGAAATAACCTCTGCCAAAATACACATGATGGCAGATGCTGCTGTGTATGTGATAGCTGTCAGCCCAGCTGCACCTCTGCTATTAATCCTACAGCCATGCATTGGAATTTACCATTTATAATTATGATTATTACAGTTAAATGCACTTGCCTCAAATTAGTAGTATTTCAGGTGGTGTGAAAGTTCCATAATAATGGACAGGAAAATGAGCTATGTTTGAGAAATGAGAAAAACGTTTGCTCTTCACAAAAGTTACATCACAAAACATGTTGTTTAGCTATTGCAGAAATTGTCAAGTAGTATTTTATTCCATTATAAAAGTTAAAAGTTACATATGGGGATATTGGTGCCTAGATTTGCAACAGGGACATATGTTGAGGCACATAATACATTCAGTCCCTATGCTACAGCTTGCTTAGGCCTTGGTGAATGTTCTGGAGATGTGTCCATAAATGCTTGCCTTGCTCATAGAGTCTTTGCTATTCGCCACTTCCAGATGTGTAATACTGGGCTAGATGACTCAGTACGGTCAATGGTATTAACAGCTACACTTGCTTTGAAAATGGGTGTTTGTGTATCAAGGACATGAGTACCAAGCATCCAGTTATATCGATAGCCATGAGTTCCTAGGGAGGTGTACTTGTGTGGATGGTAGTTCATTATTATTTTAATTTTTCATTGTTAAAATGCAAATTAATTTTAATTTCCATGTTGAGGAGGTCTAGCTTTTTAACTTTCCAACGCAGCATTTTGGTGAGCAATTATTTTAAATAAACATTTGGTTTAGCTTTCCATCTTAACAGGTGAACTGAAGTTCAGTGCTTTGTATTTATTTTAGTTCTAGACCTCAACGTATCAGAGAGACAGCTTTGCATCAGTGTGGAGGCTTGCTCAATTCGGTTGCCACCCCCTGAGGTATAAACTAGTTGTATTTACTATGACTGTTTTTGTCTTACTCATCTTCTTTTCTGTTAGGTGACTTGCAATTAACATGATGGGGATAGAAGTGCTTATTTCTGATTGTATTAAGACAGTAAATCATATTCATTGACTCTCTGCATCTGTTCCAAGTGCATACAATCCATATTATATTGATGCCTTCAAGCAGGCATTGTAAAACTGAGATTTTAGACTAATTAAAGACCTTTCAAAAATGCTAATGGCATATAGTTGTGAAGTGTCTTTATGATTCTAGATTCCCTCCTAGCAGTGTTTTCTAGAAGGCACTCACTGTCTCACTGTAATACATAAACAGTTTTGAGTAACATCTTAAAAGTGAAGCTACAGGTAAGCTGCCAGCACTATGTTTAAAGTCCTCATATATAATTATTTTGAACTCTGCATTTCCAAAATACTGGAACAGCCTGAACTACTGCTTGTAAGCATACTTAAAAAATTGTTTAAGAAATCATGTTTGAGGTTGAAAAATTACCATTCTTTCCGAATGGCACCTTTGTTGAATATGTTCATACATACAGGGGAATATTTGTCAGGCTTCCTGGTTTCTTCCAAAATAAGTATTTCTGATTCTGACAATTCTTTCTTACAATAGAAGAGTAGTATTTCTTCTGTGACCTAGTTGGACATCATAAACATTAAATCTGTCTTTAGGAGTCTGACCCCAAAATGACACAAAGCAATGATGGAAGCAATCATGATATGGCTTTGTTATCCTTTTGATCATTTTAATACTTTTCTAAAAGAGAAATGGCCAGGGGTTTTTGTCAGTGAATAAACATAAACTCTGGCAGACCACAGAAGGAGAAAATGCTTCTCAAATGTCAGTGGTTCATTGGTCCCTACAGTTGAATATTTTCACATTGTGAAAATATGTGGTGTTTTTTGACTCTCACAGGGTGAAACTATATGCCCCATTAATATTGTCAAACATGGATTTCTGGTCTGAATTTTTAAAAATGTGCATGGAAGTTCTGTACTCTTACTAAAACACCTCAAATAAAGTTTAAATCTCATTGATTTAAATAACCTTTAAATCTTGTACTTGCGTAACTTTTGGAAGTTTCAGCTCTGACATAAGATAGAGTGCAATTCAGTAATGGGAATATCTTCTGTAATAAGCAGTCTGTGTGAGCTGGTAGAAGAATAATAATGCATTCGCTTCAGTGTATTGTGATAAGCAAATATTTTTTTAAAAAATAATTTTGTACTGCTGTGGAAATATTTGCAATTTATTTTTCCCTTCTGTTTTAAGCTGGAAGATTTTGATATTTCAGCAAACACCTTAAAGCTGTTTGACAGCAATGAAAATACAGTTATTCACCAACATTCCATATTAAGTAGCTGGTGCTATGTTTTGCCAAGGTAGGAGTCTGTTTACATTTCAGCAGAAACAAACATTTCCTGGAATGTTTGCCATACAAATTGTGAATTTGATACTAGTGACAAGAACACTTCTGCTTTACAGTCTGTTTTACATTCAGAAATCTTTCTTTTTTACTTTTATGGTCTCAATATTATGGAAAATGAGAAAGAAAAATTAATCAGTGATTCATAAATTACACATTTAAGTATTATTTCAATTTTAGTAATCTCTGCTACTTTTGTAATATGCAAGATCATTTTTTTTTCCAAATATAATTTTAGCAGAAAGTGTCAATTTAAAGAAAAAACATATTTCCACCTTTGCCACAGACTATCTCTATTTTCACCTATGATTTTCATCATAAAAGTATGAGAAGTAATGATGTAGTTGCTCTTGTTCTACAATCACTGGCAGGGAATATTACAGACAAGAGAAATTAGATTTGGAGGTGCCAAGTTCTTTTCTGTATTGCTATGGTTCTGTCCTAAACTTACAAGCTAAAAGTATTAGTCCTAAAAGCGTAAAAATAATCCATAAATACTTTCAATGCAATACATAAGATTAACATTTATTTTCCCAAAAGTCCAGTATATTTTCAGCTGAGTTTTATGACATCCTGTCTAAGCATCCCTTCTTTACCTATGCACAGCATGAAAATGGGTCAAATCATAAACATCAGCCACCTAATTCCTCCAGAATCTCCTTTCCGTTCATATAAGGAATTTCAGATGCACTGGAAGAATCTGGTAAGAAAGAGCAATACTTTAATTTTTCCTTTCCTTTTTGTACCTATTGAATTTTAATTTGTAACACGTTTGTGGGGTTTTTTTTTAAGTATGGATATATTCTTCCGGAGGATCTTGAAGAGACAAAAATATACTTCAGTGTTTACTTCAAGCCAATAGGAGAAATGTTCTTCACGTATCCTTTAAAAATATATTTGTTACATTTTCTTTACTACATTACTAGCCAAGATCTAAGTTTTCTTTTTCAATTGTGCTGCATTTTCTTCTTCCATAATTTCATAGAGGTCAGTGGAGAATCGTTTCACTAGACAAATTGGAACAAAATATTTAGTCAGTTCTTTTTGTCCTTGTTTTGAATAATAGTGAGTCTAATAGATCAGTTCGCTTCACAGCTTCTGTAAACGTGATAATGCCACTCTAAATGGTGATGTAAAAAGAAGAGTTAAATTCCTTTAAAAAAATGTCCAACAAAGATTTGGTTTAATGAGAATTTTCCTGCTAGGAAGACTAGACTAAGGATTACATACATGGAGTAATCTTTACTGTGGTAGGTTAGTAGGATACATTCACATTTTAGTCCTGTGACTTTATAAGCTTCAGTCCCTTAAGAAAGTAAGTGCTTTTGTTCACATTTTTGAAAAAGCTTTAGACATGTTCCTGCTTTCTTCTCAACAAAGATGATTCATAATTATAGAAACATAGAGAAAGCTGTTATGTATCCCTGAACACTTACTCAGGTACCCTTTAATTTGCATTCGAAGTCAGCCAGCGCAGTATTTCCATAGAACAGATTCAGAAAGGGTGTTGCACTCTTTTCTCTCTGACATGAAGTGTAATCTTTCACATCTATGCGGATTTCCAGTAAAGATGACAAGTAAAGCACTTTATGCCACACAGGAACTCTCCAGGGCTCCGGTGCGTCTAAGGGGTTTTTTGTAAACTTACTAATGGCATGTACTTTATTTGTGGTATGAAGTCGCCATTTTTATGTTCAGAACACAGTAAGGGCATACAACTGTGCTTTTCACACCAAACAACTATCAATAATCTCACCTTTAATTAAATGTGTAATTAAATATTATATTGCCATTTGTCATTGTTACGTTTTTGTTCACACCATAAATACAGTAAAAAATTGGACTTAGTGTTAATTAGTTGTTACCAATATGTGCAGTTATATAGACCTTATTTTACAGTTGGACATCCAGAACTGTCTCACACCTCTTTCATAATAATAATAACAACAATAACAATTATTATTGTTGTCATGATTATTGATATTATTACAATTTATTTTAAAAAAACATACCAAGAAAAATGTAAAATTTTGTGGTCTTGTGCGTTTACAAACACTCAAGCTGTAAGATTCATTCAGTGGTTGGTGATGGAAAGGAGGCAAGCAACCAAAACTCATTTAATTTGAGGTTATGACAAAGGCTGAGACTCAAATTTCCTTGGTAGTAGTGTGTGAAAGAAGAAATGAAGTAATTAATTCTGAACAAAGAATAGTGACAGGAATTGCAGAGATTCTAAACTACCATAATCCTCTTTCAGAAAGCAGTTCCTGTTTATGTCTCTTTAGTGATGAAAGCTAGAATGGCTCCTCGTTGTCATCCGCAGTTTTTATAGACATCCAAACTGCCTTTTGCTCAGAATACAGACGCCTTTAGATGCCTTAAGAGACCAGGAGCCCTGTCGGTCAAACTCTCTGCAGAACCCCCTCAACTGGCAGGCATTACCCAATTGGAAAGCACTAAACGAAGATAATGACTGTAATTTAAGTCTTTCCTTTTGAGAAATACGATATTCCAGCATAGTTTATAAACAAAGAACTGGGTGAAGGAGAAAACAAATCTTCATTTATAGTGACAACAAAATATGGTTTTAAAATATAGTTCATTCTAATTCAAAACAGGAAAACGGATGGTTATATATTGTAATGTGTTTTGGGTAGATACCATATAGTGATGTGTTAGATGGCACTATCAGATTTTTAAATCCAGTTCATTCAATTTAGCAACTCTTGTTCCATTGCAGGAAATTAAATCTAAGCATATGAAATTGGCCGATGAGAGGGTTTGCGTGGTATCTCTAATGCAGGCTCCTCCGAGGAAACGGACTTTGCCTGGAAATTCTTCACCGTGCAGTATGGAAAGCAGCCACTGGATGGAGCGTTTGATCAAAGAGCCAGACACACACTCTTTTTCGAGCAGCAGGAAGGGTGCAGGAAAGGTTAGCCTTCAAGCAGCAAAGAAATCAATGAATAATAGGCAAATACGAGGAATACCAGAATTACCGGTTGTGAAATCTTTAGGAATGCCTGTAAATTCATCCTTTGAACTCCCCTCCCCAAAAGTCAGCAAAATTATACCAATTTTCAAAGGAAAGTTGATGCAAATGAACGGAAATACACAAATGGATAGGAAGAAAAAAGAAAATTATGAAAGACATTCAGCAGTAAAAATTATGGGTGTTTCATCTTCTTTGCTAACTGTGTACAAATCCAGCGTAACTCAGGTTTACAAGCCTGCTCAAAATATGTCTGTCAAAAATCCTACTGATAGCAGTGTACTTCAGGTAACGAATGCAAAAACGTACGCAAAACGTGGCACACCTGTATTTCGATGGAAAACGCAGTCTAGTGGACAAATGACTCATTCTAAATTTTTTGATAACTCAGCCTCAGGTGGGAATTCAAGTGGAGTCAAACAGAAAAAGGCAGATTCTCCTTCCTTTCTTAAGAATGTTGGGTCACCACTTCAGAAATCAAACATCGATCCGAGTCTGAACACATACACATCTCCTACTACCAGTGCAAGAAGGGGAAAAAAGTTTGCACGTCAAAATACGACGCAAGTTCTTGAGAAACAACAGCAGTCAAAGATAGTACCTTTGCAGATTTGTAAATTAGACAATGAAATGACAAAGTTTGGTTTATCACAGCCACAAACAAAGAGATCAAATGGAGGAGCGGGGTTAAATATTCATGAATCTGTCTTAAACAATACGACGTGCATCCCCAAAAGTGAAGAAAATAAAGCAGCATGCCATTCTAAGGAGTATATTGCTAAGACAACCGGTTCTCACTCCAAGTCTAACTTTGAACAGGTACGGTAAATAACAGGGCTCATTCTCACTGGTTCTCACAAGTTCAGTATATTCTAAAACAATGTTAAGCAATAAAGAGCATGACTTTCATCATGTTCTACTATCATTCTCAATAGAGTTTTCTAAAATTTCTACCATCTAAGTTAACGTTGTCAGCTACTGCTGCATTTTTCCTGAAAGGGAAGATGATTTACTGTACTGAGATACACACTTTATTGTTTGGGACTTTTAAGGTAGAATAATTAGTTTTTCTTTCTTTAAGACAGTTTGTCAGTTTATCCAGATTTGTGTAAGGTTAACATGGTGAAATTTTTGGTGCTCAATCTGTCTTCGTATGAAACCATATTAACCTGGAAGGAATGCCATCAGTTGTGTAGTGCTGACTGCAGTGTGTGTAAGGCATTGTGCTGTTAGACAAACATAGAAGATTTGCACATACAAGTTTAATTGCAATTTCACTAAAAGCACAAGTTGCAACAGGAAAAATTCCTACTGGGCATAAGGAAAAAAAAATAATCTTCAGAGTGAGAGTGATTAACTACTGGAACAAGTTGCACAGAGAGGTTGCAGAGTTGTATCCTTTCAGATTCCCAGAACTTGATTGGATGAGGCCCAAAGCAATGTAACCGAACTTTGAAGTTATCTCTGTTTTGAGTAAAAGTTATGATTGGATGACCTCTATAGGCTCTTTACAACCTAAATTTCCTATGATTCTGTCTGCATTTCAATAAAAACAATAGGTGAGCTGATTTCAGTACAATTTTTATGAGGATGATATCCCATAGACTGGGCACATGGATGAAATGTGTTGTGCTTACCACTTTTTTCACCCATAAAACGTAATTTGGTAGGTAATTTCAACTTTAGGTTATGACCTACATTTTAAAATGTAGGTCACTTGAACAAGTAGAAAAATATTATGATCTTTTTGCTAATGAATGTATAAACTTACGTACTTTTAAGATGATTACAGGGAGTGAGTATCTGACATGTGAAACCCAGACCTCAAAAGCAACTCCCTCAATCACAGAGACCAACATGGAAGCATCTGTAAAGAAAGGTTGTGCCAGAAGAAGACAGGTAAAAAACCCACACAGGTACACCCTTTCATCCAGTCTACAAGGACCTGAATTAAGAGATAAAAAGGTTTTTGTTTTTTGTTTTTTTTTTTCATTTTAGCATGTTCCAGCTAAAACAGGGAAACAAAGAAACCTTACTAAGACCAGTCTGGATAAAACTAACCTTAACCATTGGTTATGTTACTGTTATTTCAGGTGTTCATTTTAAACATCTGTCTCTGGCAAAAGATGCTGCTAAAATGAAAAAGTTTAATGACATCACTTAATGTAAATATGCTTCTGAAGCAGATTTTTGAATTCTACAGAAGCTAGTTTTATCCTGTGTAATATAACTATGGGCATTCTCTTTGGTTCTGTAAGTGTCTCATCTTAGGTGCTTGAATTTAGCAGTGTTCTGTAGAAATGAGATGAAAGGCCATTTGAAATAAGTTTGAAGGTTTTTAAAAGGCATAGTCTCTTAATTATTTAATATATTCCGGTTGTTTTTTGAGTAGAAGAGGTTAGCCTCAGCAATTATATGGTTTTCTAATACCATCTGAGTTTCTTAATGCTTTTTCCTCTGGATTCTGCTCTAATGATAGTAGTGTGTACTTTTAAAATCCCCTTCAAAATATTTTTTCATGATTCTTAAATATTGCTTTCACCTACTACTGGGCTACATTTCTGTTTCTAAATATCAGTTCAGTAGAACTCAACTCCAACTTCCGTCTCCTTCTCCTTACAACCACATTCTTAATGTTTTTACTACCTAGAAATTAGACACATTAGAAAGAACAGGTCCTATTTTTCCAATGCTCAGTACAAGTCTATTTTCTAGCATAGCTGTGTATGTGTTATTTGTGGTAATGGCCAACTGAAAGTCCTGTACAATCATGCTACAAAATAAGCCAGAAGGAGGAAAAGTTGCACACGCTTAATTCCCTTTTCACCCAGATTCCCCTGCCTTTTATACTTCATGTCAACCACGTCACTATTTGGGGTCTTATTGCCCGTTCTCAATCTGAAGTGCCTTTGCTTAGTAACACATTGCAAAATGGTGACGACACCAAGCTGTGTGGC